TACGTCTGTGTTCAGACCAAACTGAACCACTGCTGCTTTTTTACGCTTTCCTGCCCTTCAGTGCTTCAGCATCTGGGTGAGTGCTCTTCCTCAGCCACCTTCCAATGCTGCATTGATCAGTGCAACATCACCAACATCTGTATGCCCGGAAAATTAGATGCCAGGCCATTAGATGCCAAGGGAAAACTGTCTCACCAAACCAATAGATGGGCCCACTGTTCACATGGAAAATATGATGTATCACATTTTCTTTAGAGCTTTTAATACACGTCTGATATACTATTCAGTTCCTAACAGGGAGTGAGGGGCTAACTATCTCAAACCCAGTTGTGTACATAAGCCCTGGGCTCCATTTCATTGGTCCATATGGGTGCTTTACCACCTGCCATGTTAGAGGGAAGATTCAATCAGGTTTCTTCATTTCAGCCTCATCGCTCCAGCAGTTTGGGGGATTTAGAGACTGGAATGCATGTTTTATTATATTGCAGTTTCTATTGGGATATGAGGAGGGGACTGATTGTGCCTTTATGATCTAAGTTTCCTGGCAAAGACGATCCATTTTATGTATCTTACTGTTTAGCTGACACTGTTCCTGTCATTACTGAAAAATTGGCTAAGGGTTTTGTGTTGCAATTAAGTTGAGAGCTCAGGTAACCTATTTTCAATTCTCCCAGCGTAGCTGATACACTGTTCTATATGTCTTTGTATATGTATTTTGTTGTTCTGTATGTTTATGGAAATATATCTTGTATATCATGTTTCTTCAGGTGGGGCAGGAGAAGGCAAAACTCCCTGGAGAAAACAATCATTTTTTCATAGGGAATGTAGAAGGGAGAAGAAGACAAAGAAGACCAACTATGACATGGATAGAGTCCATAAGGGAAGCCACAGTGTTGAGTTAGAAGGTGAGGAGAAGGCTGCCATGGATAGGACATTTTGGGGTTTTCATACATCAGGTCATGCTTAGTCAGGGGCAACTGAATGGCACATAAAAACAGCATGCCATGTTCCTTCAATCAAGACAAAGGCTGTGATCAACAGATTTGATTTGTTGATCATATCTGATATAACAGGATTAATCTTTTGAGCAATAAAAGTCTAATAAATAATCCCTTACTCAATCTAAAATAGAGCATATCTGAACTGCTGCATATATGGGTGAAATGCGTTGCAGAGTCAAGCTTTGCCATGCCATGCCATGGCTGTTGTGTTTTCCAAATACGCTAAAGTGATGCCTAGTGCAATGCCTAAGCTTGCAGTTTTGGCTGTGAAAACCAAACTCTTAATTTGCATGTCTTTAGGCATTTGCACTTGTCCAATTGCTGTATCATTTGTAGCATCCATATAATTTCTCGATCACAGCTTAGCTCCTAAAGTTAGAGAAACTTTTCACGGCACTCAGTCAAAATGAGCAACTAATGCATTTCTGTAATTCACACCTTCTTCTTGCCATGGAAAGATGCTTTTTACTAAATATGCAATTAGGATAATGTGCTGTGCTGGTTGACAGTCACTTCTTCAACAAACTAAAAGACATTTAATATTATCTGTTATCTCTCATGAGGAACATGGGCCATCTTCCATGATGTAATCAGAAGCACCGCATTGTGACCAAGAGTAAATATTTCCCAGTGTAAAGACCGACTTGTTGGATCAAATGCCAGACCAGTGAGTCTAAGCATTGCTTCAGTGGCTAAGTAGTTATTCTGGTCCCATCCAGAATGGAGAACCAGACACCACTCATGATTTTAACTATGAACCACAATGTAATTTATTTACACGCCTGATTTCTACTTAAATAGTTGAGGCTAACTCCACTTGGCCCCACCAATGCAGCCAGAAGAGAACACACCCTCTTTTACAGAGCATAGTCCTCTATTCAAAGGGATGTCAGAGGAACACCCTGTACTGGAACCATCCTTGCTTTTAAGGATTAGGGTTAAAAGGTAAAGAACCACATGAAGGAAGGTTGAGGGGAGATCTTGAAGCTGCATAGCTGACTCACCAGCCACAGAGGTACTGATCTTTCCCACTGTGGCTGGGTACTGCATTTGTATTTGAAGGATGGCATTGATTCCTAAATGTGCATCTGTATCTGTGCATGAGCATATACAAATATTATGCAAACCACCGTTCTCTTTGTTGGTGAGGCGTTTTCTCTTTCATTTTTGGGGCTGAGCACGTGAGTGGCCAACCCAGCCCAGACATACATGAGGCAAAGCGAACAGAATGTTCTGCAACTCCTGGCCAGTTGTCTGGGCAGGAATCCCCACCCTGGCTCTAGGCAGTGCATTGCTCTTCACTGCTCTCACGCTTGACGCAGCAGTGGGGGCCATGGGCAGGGAGGGCGGGACTTTCCCCCTTGCAAGTGTTGCCCCTGCTGGAGGGTGTGTGTGGTGTGAGGGACTGCCCACTACTCGTTCGAAGCTCTGGCCGTTTTCCAGCATCGTGAAAAGGCAAAAATCTCCCAGCCCTGCTTCCACACGCGAGTTCTAGGAGTGCGGACTCAAAATTCCTCGCTGGCCTCCTCTGGCGGCTTCCTAAGCACAGGTGCCTGGAAGGCCACCTTATGTCACATGGCCCTCCCCAGTTGGTAGCACTGTTCAGGGCAGGATAGGGCAGCATGCACCAGGCCTCCATCCTTTCAAGTGTCCTTTTTTACAGAGGATGGTCCTCTGTATGAAGGCCTCTCCATTCTGAAGGCATCGTCTGTCTAGCCTACTTGAAGCTGGAAGACAGAATCATTGGAAGAACCAACTGGGGCTTGAGGTTGCGTATCGGTAGGACCTAGAGAGCAGACTTAAAAAGTGAGACCAAATTTCCATGTACATGATAATTATTCCTACATTAGCATTATATATTAGCATAGGCAAAGTTATGCCAAACAGTTCCACCATTGGTTCTCCTATTGGCGATACATTTCCTGTTGTTGTTGTTGTTGTTGTTGTTGTTGTTGTGGGGTGGGGGCAGGGGAGCAGTACCTTAATGGCCACCATAACAGCTTGCCCAACCTAGTACCTTCCAGATGTCTTAACTCTCCCACATCCCTGTTGCCCTGGGACTGATGGGAGTTGTAGTCTTAGCATCTCTTTTCAACCAAGTAGGGTTGACATGGCTTAATGGTATATGACATGGTCACATGGAGACAGTCCTAGTTTTAATTCCTGGCATCTCCTGGTAGCCAGGCCCGAGAAAACCATGTGAATCTGCAGAGGATCCTCCAGGTAGTGCAGGCACTAGCCAGTGCTGGACTAAATGAGAGGAGTGGCCGATCTACACAACCATACTCTGGTCCTGTCCAGTTCATTTATTTGTAAAGAGAACAGGAGGACAGTCTGCATCTGTGGCCAGACCTCTTCTCCTTGTGCACACACCACAGCTTTGTAGACTATTTTGCTCATGAAGGACCTGCAGTGCTACCAGAAAAGCTCTACCTGCAATGACACCAAGATTTGGCTTGCGTAAAATTGCACTTGATCCCCCCAGTATTTACTCATAGCTTGCCATCTCAATTTAAGAAATATATCTCCGGTGCAGTTCACACCCATGATGTATTACGGCAACATGTCACTAGTGCAACAGCAGTACAAGGGGCTTTGATGATGTATTAACAGAATGCATCATCAGAATGAGTCACTCTCTTGAAGTATAACTCAGGAGATGGCACTATCCAGGGTAAGGTGCACATGCAATATATTGGGGAAAACATTAGGATCTAAGGCACCCTTTGAGGGGAAACAATGGTTTGTACTGGCATGAAGCAGCAATGGATTGAGATGGCTCCTGAAGAAAGTGAAAGAAGAAAGTGCAAAAGCAGGACTTCAAACCACTCAATCCTAAAGGAAATCAACCCTGACTGTTCTCTAGAAGGACAGATACTGAAGGCGAAGCTCAAACACTTTGACCACCTAATGAGAAGGAAGGACTCCCTGGAGAAGACGCTGATGCAAGGAACGATTGACGGCAAACAGAGAAGGTGGCTGGATGGGGTCACTGGGGGAGTGGGTGTGGGCTTGGGTGGGATCTGGGGGATGGTGGAGGACAGGAGAGCCTGGAGGAATGCTGTGTAGGGGTTGTGAAGGGTCAGGCATGGCTTTGCAACTAAACAACAACAATGTCAGATTTGAAGATAGGGAAATTGTGGAAACGGTGCATACTTGGGCTCAGTCATCAATTCAAACTGAGACTGCATCTGAGAAATCTAAAGATGAATGAGATTTGGAAGGGCGGCAATGAAGGAGCTAGGGAAGATAATCAAGTGTAAGCATGTTGCACTGGAAACGGAGGCCAAGCTCACTCACATAGTGTATTCCCAATCACTATGCCTGGGTGTGAATGCTAGATAGCGAAGAAACTGACGGGAAGACAAGTAATGCATTCAAAACACAGTGCCGGAAGACAGCTTTGCACGTCTCGCTGGGGAAAGACAATCACGATGGGGAAAGTCAAGAGTAGAAGAAAAAGGGGAAGGCCAACTAGGAGAGGGAGCAATTGCATAAAGGAAGCCGACGTCGCAGGAGCTGAGCAATGTCATGGAACAGGGTGTTTGGGAGGGCTTTCATTTGTAGGTCAGAGATGACTTGACAGCACGTAACAACAGCAACAAGCCTGGCTTTGGATTTCTGATTAACACATGTGCACACAGCCCAAAGCAATGAATTGCACACAACCACCAGATGAGGCTGGAGGCAGCTATCCTTGTTCTTTAGTAGCCAGTCCAGAGCCCCTGATCTGCCACCAGGCATGCTGTCGTGGTGCTGTTCTCTCTGCCTTGTTCCTGCTCTCTCAGGATGGGTCACCATTATGAAACATAATATGCGCAGGATCAGCGTTCAAGGCCGAGGCTGTGCTAGCTGGAACCACGCTCCTTTCCATAGCGTTCTCCATGGGCTCCTATTCCTCCTTTATTGTTTCGATTTCAACCGTCTGATCGTTTGCTGCATTTCACTGTAACAACCATTGCTGAGCCTAGGGGAAACAGTTAAAACGCACACACTCACCCAGCAGCTTTGGCATCTCCAGGATGAATGAGAGGACCTGTCCCTGATGCCTGGCAGATGCAGCTGGGCTCATGGCTGAAAGCGGGCAGTCCTGGTGCTGCTGATGGGCACTTCGGGGCCCAGCTCTTCTTCCCAATGGTTCCTTATCATTAAAGCAGACACGGGCAGGACAGTTCTCCATGTGCCTTCCGAGCAGTTGATGGTCCTCTAGCAGCCCTTCTAGCAGACTGCCCTCTGTAGAAGAGAGCACATAGCCACATTAGACCACCAGCACGTTTTGTGATTTTATTTTACCATGGTCGTCATCGTCATTGCACTGTATTTATATCCTACTTTTCTCCTCTTGTGAAGAGCTAAAGGTGGCTTACGTAGCTCACAACAACATTCCTGTGATGCAGGTTGGGCTGAGAGTCTGTAACTGTCCTAAAGTCACCCAGTGAGCTCCATGGGTGAGCGGGCCTGGAACCACGCCACTTTGCCCATCTCTAAGGTCTGTAATTATAAACACTTCTATTACCAGAGTCAAGAAACTGCGTTATTGACACCTCAAAGCAGAAACATTTGAGATCTATACTACTAGAAGGCCTCTATAAACTAGGAATGGCTCTTCGTATGCATTACCTAAAGGAGCGCCTGCGTCCATATATGCCCTCCCGCCCCCTGAGATCAGCAGCAGAGGCCCTCCTCTGGGAACCCTCCATGAAAGATGTTAGCAGACAGAGCACCCGAAGGAGGGCCTTCTCTGCGGTGGTGCCCCACGTATGGAATGCGCTCCCCGGAGAGGTCAGCCTGGCACTGTCATTTGTTTTTCGGTGCCAGGCCAAGACCTTTTTATTTAAAAGTTATTTTAATTGTTAATTGATTTATGGGGTTTTATATTGTGCCGAGATCTAATTCAGATCTAACTCTGAATTAGATCTACACCCTTATTATATAAGTATTAATGACTAAACATGAATAATGGCCAGCATGTGATATGCTTGCGGCTGTAATAATCCAGTGCATGATTAGTGGACGTTGCAAACTATATCAAATTATTACTGAGGTTAGCACAAGAACTTCTGTGCATTTCTCTCCTATGGGAGGCATAGTTGCTCATTCTTCATCATTCCCATATAATAAAGATCAGTTGATTAAGTTGCTGGGGTGTTGCTGTTGTATCACAAATGAGCTGCTGCAGGGAATGGGTGGAGCACCAGGAAATCTGCCCCTCGTTATTTCGATAGCCTACTTCCAAAATGAACCCACTTATCTTATTGAGCTGGCAGAAGATAAAAGCTTCCACAAAAGTCATGAAGTTTCATCTCTAGTATATGCTGTCCTCCCACACAAAATATCTCTGACACTTGATTCAGACTCCCACCCAGATAACACACACACGTGTCCTGAATTCCCAGAAAGTAATCACCAAGGATGCCCTGGCAACCCTGTACACCCACGTTTGGAATGAAGATATTGTCATTTCAGTGGGATGAACACTGGGACTGAACTCCTGCACTGCCAATCCTATCTGACCTTTTTGTGGGGATGGCTAGTAGTTGGGGGTGTAACTGTTGCACAGTCAAGCTGGGGGTTTAAGAATGGGAATACAGAATGTGTGCTCTGCTGAAAATAGTGACAAGCAGCATATTCATTTGGCTATGCACCCAATTTGCATCTACAGTTTTCTTTGTCCAAAGTTTTTGTAAATAACTGAGAGCATAAGGCAGAAAAGTGGTAAACTCATCTGAACTAGAGGCAGGTTTTACATATCCCTGTAAGCATGGCATGATTGGGGAAACGATTTCCTTCACCGAGAGTCTACAAAATAAGATAAATCAATTTGCCCGAAAAGACCATGTGTCTGTTGGGTTGTGCTTAATGTTTCAGTTTATCCCCACCTTGGTTCGCCTGCTTTCAGTTGCCGGATATGCACAAGCCTGTAAGTGTTGCAGATAAAAATGTCGGATGATGTAGGACTTCACTTGGAAACAGATGGTCTTTTTATTGACATTGGCCTACATTTGAAAAACTTGAAGAGCTGTGGATTTCTGTACCTGTGGTATCCTGAATCACTTGGAATTACAGAATGTAGGCTATTACACAGCATGAAGGATTTCAAAGTCATTCTGTCGGCTGTCTTGAGTCATTTACAAGTGGCAATTGTGCCATTTTTGTGGGCTGAATTCCTTGACGGTTCCAGGTGAGGAGTGATTATCAGGTTACAGAGTCCCCTCCAAACCGAGACTCCATTTCAACAGTTACCCAAGATGAAGTAACTAAAAGGGGCACATTTGCAGGTCAGGGAGTTGGTATACTTTGACTAACATCACAAAGCATTTAAGACGTGCTCTTCATAATGTTCCAAAGAATGTTCTTTCATTCAGTAAACACACAGCATGTTATTAACCTGGGTGTTATGTGTTAAAATAGCAATATACAGAATTCCATTTGAAAATAATGCTTATATTTTGGTGTTCCACTACCAAAATTACCTTCAAATGTACCAGGGATAGTGCTTCATATTCTGGACACCAGATAAATTGTGATTTCCAGGAGAAAACTCACCCTGTCTCTCTTATATGCAAGCTTTCTCAGCTGAAGTGATTCTATGTGACATATTAAAGTTGGGATCTATGAGAAATTTGTTTCACTTCATTTTTAGCAAGTTTGACCGAGTTTGCACTTTCTAGATGAAGCATGGACTTGGATGCACCCTGGAGCAGCGGTCTGTGCATTTCTGAGTTTGCAGTGTGAATTGCAGATGAAAAGAAAAAGGCTTGAAGTAGAGATGGAATTCAGAATACTTTGATGGGCTCCAAAATTGCTGATTCACACAGTCCCTCATTAAAGGTAATTAGTTCCATTCTCCCACTCTTAAGCTGATAGCATGTAGCTATATTTCTTGTCCTCGTGCCTTTGTACTTTCTCCATATCCCAAACATATGGATTGGGATGGTCTATAGGTCCATAAGCTACTTTCAGGTCTGAGATAATGTTACCTAGTTGTCATGGTGACAGGGACATTGTGCACGGCTTTGGCAGACTTGAATGTTTTGCAAGAAGTCCAGGAGTCTCAGCAAATGTATTTCTAAAAGGAGGAATGAGATATCTGTGGAGGCTTCTCTGGTGTCCCTTTTAGCCATTGATGGAGGACCTGTGTGATGGCAGATGACTCTGGTGAACACAGCCTCTCAGAACAGAGCTTTCCAGCTCTGGTTGGACTTGGTTTGCTTGAGCTGCATGTTATCTCCTTGTGGGAACAGGGTCTCCTCATGGGAATGGAGAGCAGACAGTTCCCATGGTTGTCTCCTCATGGGAATGGAAAGCTGACATCAGAGATGATGGAGGCGAACTCCAGGTGACATAAAACCCATCTCTTCCACTGGGGAATCTAGAAGATACTGCCTCCTACCTCCCCCTTTCATAACTGCAAGGGCAGGAGTCTTGTTTGGTCTTGGTGATGGATTCATTTCCACCCACTGCCAGGGAACACCACTTCTGCCGAGAAGGGCTATTTCCAACGTCCTTCACTCCCATTCTGCCATTTGCCTTTCACCATGCAAAGAGAGGCACGGAGTCCCACCTTCTCCTTAAATGGAGAAAGGGATGCTGCCAGTGCTCACAGGAATGTTTCCTCCAAGTGCCAATCATATCAGCCACTTTCTGCAGGTGGAGTTCACACTATGGTTGGGGTGGCATGCAAAGAGAAGGTACTCTACCAGTCCTTGCAGGCACTCTACCAGCTGATCAAGCATCACTTAGTCCTGTTCCTCCATAGAAATCCCCTAATTATCTCCACTCACAGATCCAGTGTTGATCCCTCTCCCTGTCTTTTTCCCAAGCCCTGGGGGATAGAAAAACTTGGCCGGTTGGATTAGGCCCACAGGTCAGAGTTTCCCCATCTTTGCCTTCCTGCCCAATGGCAACAACAGACATGAAAGGGTTCCTATTGCTGCAACATATGCTTTTTAGGAATTTGAGCCTTTGTCTGGTGAACAGGACAGCCCTCGAAAATGCCCAAGTTGGCTGTACCTGGTACACCCCTTCCTGCCAGGGGCATTGCCGGTATCACCACCTTAGGCAATTACCAGGAAGAGCCACGCAACACGTGAGCAATTCCAGCATCTTTGTGTAAATTTTATTTATTTATTTATTTATTTAGAAGGCTTCTATCCGCCCCATTCTCCGAAGCCTCGGGGCAGCTCACAATAATAAATAAATAAGATCAGTATAAAACAATATAATATGAGTCGACCTGGCCTGAAAAATAAATTAATTAATTAATATTAACAATTAAAATAGTGTTTGAATAAAAAGGTCTTTGCCTGGCGCCGGAAAACAAATATCGACGGTGCCAGGTGGACCTCTCTGGGGAGCGCATTCCATAGATTAAATGCAGTCAATCCGAAAGGAAATCAACCCAGACTGTTCTTTAGAAGGTCAGGCATTAAAGCTGAAACTCACATACTTTGACCACCTAATGAGAAGGAAGGACTCACTGGAGAAGACGCTGATGCTGGGAACAGTTAACAGCAAAAGAAGAAGGGGACGGCAGAGGGTGAGGTGGCTGGATGGGGTCACTGGAGAGGTGGGTGTGGGGTTGGTGGACTTCAGGGATGGTGGAGGACAGGAGAATCTGGAGGAATGTTGTCCATGGGGACAACTTTGCGACTAAACAAAAAAACAAAAAAAAATCAAGCCTGTATGTAAAAGAATAGATCCAAATGCTGCTGAAAACTTTGCGACTGAACATGAAAATCTTTCTGCTTCATGCTTTGTGACTAACTTCAATATTCAAATAAACATTTAAAGGGTTGGGGACTTGGAAAGAAGGAAGGAAGGGAGCAAGTGAGGAAGGGATGGGAGGAAGAAACCCAGACCCTAAACAGAACATTGCCACTTCCTGTTTAATTCAGCTCACAAGTGCCCATTCGTGATCACCCAAATGCTCCTTTGCCCAGCTGGTCAAGGCAGTGGGGTTCTTCAACTGGCAAATGTCACAGAGTAATGCCAACCAGATGAGTCCTTGGTGACCCCTCTCCCCGCTGAGAATAATGTGAATAAATGTCACTGTTTTCAGTGAGCTTTCCTTTTGCCGCTTGGGTTTAAAGTCAAGGCATTTCGGTCCGGAGCGCCAGGGCAACTTTGCATTAAGCACAGAGCAGCCAGTGGGGCTAAGAAGACTGGGCTCCCTCAGTAAAGCACCATGATGGAGAACTGAAAAAGTGTGGA